AGTAGTATGGCCAGGAGCCACTAGTAGTTTCTTGTTCCTAGTAGCGATGCCCTTGGCTCCTAGTAGCGAGCGGATTCAGTGATGGTCTTTGAGTTTTTCAGAGTTTTGTGAACATGAAATCGTCACATGCTGGGGTCCGCCAATTTCCCATGTTGCTAATGATGCTGCTAATGTCTATGACTTTCTTCTACACCATTGAAATCCTGAGCCACTCACATGTTGGAGACCATCGCTATTAGGTTGGAGGCCATCGCTATGAATTAGGTTGGAGCATTGGAGGCCATCGCTTCTAGGTTGATCACCCCATCTCTTTTTCCTCCAAATCGCCCGCTGCCCGCCTCACGTTGCATCACCCGTCGCTTCCAGCGCGCGACGCGACCCAACGTGCCACGATTTCCGGCGCACGACGAAGCGCGTGGCACGCGTTGCGCACCGTGACTGGCCATGGCGGACATGGGGCTGGACATCACCTTTGATGAGGCCCATCCCTTGTTCGGTACAATGTCGTACGTGTCAATGTAGACGTTAATGAAAACTCCCATATGAGGCGTTACATGGTTTTACGCTTCCTGGGATCAAATTGGACGGTAGCTGTCATGATCTTCAAGTGCCAAAGAAGGCAAGGTGGGCGATGCTTCAGCGGATTTCCGTCGCTTCGTGCAAGCTTTCCAAGGACGCCCTGCACACGATCCAGGTTCATTTCTAGATGATAAACGAAGAATAGAAGACTGTGATGTGTGGCGGGTTTTTTTGTGATGTACGAAAACGCCGGAACACCTGAATGAAGACGTGTCCATGTGCTTCTCTGCATATCAATCAGGGGAGGCGGTGTTCTTCTGTAGACTTCGCTTTCTTTCGTGGTGGTTCAGGGCTACCCAGGTCGTCGGATGGTGATTTCGGATTTACACGACACTAACCGCCCTCGGAGCCGCGACGCGGCCGGACGTGACGGGTATCCGAATGGGGCAGGGCTGAGATCCCGAGGGGGGGTGTCATTCTCCAGGACATGTCTGCAGACTGGTAGTCTTCCAGAATGGGCGACGCTTCGCCATCGCCATTCTGTTTGAACAAAGCGCTGTTTGAACACATCAGGATTTGGGACGCATGACACAACCTTTGGAACCCCGTATGAGAAGCACGAGAAATCCAGTGCGGCAGGCGCCAGGCATTTGTTGCGTTGCTTGGACACTTGTCCAGCTTGAGGTTCTGTAAGTGGATGAGTCTTGAAGGCGCAAAGGCCACCGTTTTGGCCCTGGCCGACCCCCGTCGAGACTTCCGTGCTTTGCCAGGACAATCGCATCCGTGTCATGCCCAAAGAGAAGTTTAAGCAGACAGAGTCGCTGGCTTAGTTGAGGAGAAGACGTGTTTGCCCATGGGCTGAGTTGTGAACAAGCTCTAGTGGTTTCTCAAACAGACGTGGCTACCTAAGAATGGGACAAGCTCGAGCACAGGTCAATGACATGTGTGGTCTTCGAAGACCTGGGCCCTTTGGGATGGTTGGACAGTGGGTCCGATATCTTCCCGATGTTCTTTCGAATGGTTGGAACGGGCGAAGTAAACCAACATCGGATGCCTGTCATGCCTTTCGTTGTTTTCAGATAACCGGCGCTCATGTCTGTTTGGTTGAGAGAGAGACAGCAAGCTTCCAGGAACTGGAACATGAATGTATGTACTATCCCTAGGGCTCCAACTAGCTCCTGAGAAGGTGGTTAGGGTGGGTTTGGGGGGTCTAACCACCTTCTGAGGATATGGTTGGAGCCCTAGGGTATATGAAAAGTACCCCAAGCAGTACAAACCCTAGTGGTTAAACAGACGTGGCTACCCGATTTGCGCTTCATCTCTAGTGACCAAACCCAGCCAGTTGACAGGGGTGCACTTTGACAATGCCAAGAAGACTTCGGATCGCACGTGGAGGTGGGTGTTTCCTCTCAGATGTTCAACCACTCACTTCCACGTGCTTTTTCTTCCCAATGGTGATGAATGGGGTTTGTCCGTTCTTACCTGTAGATCAGTCAGTAAACAAGCCATTCACTATGTTTGAACAAGGCCTGCCACCTAACCATCATCGTCCACCGTTTCTGAGTTATTGTTTACTTCCTTTTGATCTGTTCAGAACTTGATGCGTTCGTTATTGCGGCTCTTTTCGTCTGGAAACCCCCGAAACGGAACACGAGTGCCGAACCGTGCCGAGGGACCTGGAAACCGAGTGCCATGGCTTCGCTGAAAAGATCCAGGTTGGTGGGATGGCGCTGTCTGGGAGGTGAAGCCAGGGTGAAGAGGTAGCCTTGCCAAGCCTCCAGCGAAGCAATGGCCTCCAACCTACTAGCAATGACCTACTAGTAATGGCCTTCCACCTACTAGAGCCAGGGTGAAGAGGTTTTTGGCGGTGTTTGCCCAAGTCATGCTGGAGAGGTTGAGAGCTTCACCGGGTGGCCCGTTGGTTGACCAGATCCCTATTTCGAACGGTTCAAGTGTACGATCTGACGTTGATGTTATTGCGTGTCTCGAATTAAGCCCGGAAAACCTGACCCTAGAGCCCTTGAAAACCGGGGGGGTCCAACCTTAAGGTATCCAAACCCCCTGGGTTTTTGCTGGGCCCCTGGGTCGCTTCAAACCTCAAACCCGAGTCCCTCCTCTGCTTCGCTTCGCAGGCCTTTAGCGGCACAGTCGACATGCTCGTGGAGGCACCGGGCGCGGGGCACGGCTACGGCTGCTCCTGATGGACCGGTGAAGGGTTCCAGGACGCGGACGCGCTCGGACCAGTGGGAGGCCATCGCTATTAATGCAAAAGACATGTGTTTCTTTGAACGGGTGTTTTTGAATGTTCGAGGAAGCGGACAAGGCACTGGGCTTTAAAGAAATCTCCACCGGAACTCCACAGATGCCATTTTCCCGGGAAGCAGAAAGAGATCGATCTGAACGAGATTACTTCAACCCTTGACTCCAAGTTGGCAGCTTGCAAACTGCAGCCAATACCATCCTTCAGGGCTCGTCCAAGGAGTGTGGAATTATATATATATAATCATATATAGATAATGTTGACCTATGATTAATAAAGAGAGAGACCCGAAATAAGGTTAGCAAAGTTCCGCACTGATTAATAAACCCCCAGAACAATTCAAAAAATACATAACAAACAATATACCTACTGTTTTAGACATATAAATAAGAAAAAATATATAATTACTGTTTAATATGTTTTTAAAAACATAGAAATAATAAGGAAAAAACCATAATAATAACTTAAATGTATAATAATTCCAAAATAGAAGTTAGATTTATATAATAATTAAAAAAAAAAACAAACTTTAAAAATATAGTAAAATATCTACTAAAACAACAACAAAGACTAAAAACCATAACAATAATATACATAATTTTAAACAATAAGTAAATACTCTTTATATAAACAAAAAGTAAAAAGACGCTAAATAAAGTGTACCCTAGATAAAGCGAAGAAATTTTCCTGATGCCACCACGCCCTAAATAAAATTTACCCTAAATAAATCTAGAATCAACAACAACATCAGCAAGGTAAAGCAGAATCAGGAAAAGCAGCATGGTGTTCGCATTCTTCACCAAATTCTTCAGTCGCCCAGTCGCCCAAAACCGGACCTGGCACCAGGTCCTGGACGGCGAGGCCGCGAAGATCGAGGAGGAGAAGCTGCGTGCCATCGGCCAGCGCAACCGTGCCTTGGTCGAAGAAGTTCTAGGAGCCAAGGGCATCGCTACTAGGGGCAAGAAGCTATAAGGGCCTCCTGGCTACTAGGAGCAGGAAGCAACTAGGAGCAAGAAGCTACTAGTAGCCTTGGCCTCCAACCTAATAGAAATATGGTCTTGGTTGAACTCGGCTGGACTCTTTGTCCGAGTTCAAGCGCATGGGGAGATGGTTTCAGCGAGCCCGGGTTTTGGGGAGGGCGAGCCTCGGGTGTTGGGGGGAGCCCGATGCTCGTAGGGTTAGAACAGGTTGGATGAGCGGTTCCTTGGTCCATGTTGTACCACTTTCTACTTTACTCAGCACTCACTGCGAGTGCTTTGTACTTGAGTTACTTGAGCCCATGGGTTCTTTGACCACAGCGTTTACCCTTTAGAAGTTCTTGGGATAGGGCAGAAAGCCTTTCTTCACAAAGCGAGCTTCGGATGCACAAATTAGAAAGAATAGCCATGTGGCGAGTCGATCACATTGCTTTGGCGAATCGATCGATGGAGCATTTTGGCCATCGGTCTTTTTCAGCGGCCTTCCTCCGGTGTAAACTCTACAAGCCATGGGTCGAAGAGCCTGTGGATCGTTGTGGTTTAGGAGGTTCTTGACATGTGCAATCATCTTCTTTGGAGGTCAAGGGAGGTTGAGGGGCTATGGGTCGGAGGCAGATATTCCAGGGCTATGGAACATGTGTTCCTACATTTCCACTCTGTTGATGATCCATCCATCTGACGGTGGCACTTTGTTGGATGCCCTATCGATTGCATCTTGGGGTGGGTACAGGATTTAGATCATCCATCGATACGAATCTTCTGGCTCGAGCGGAGTGAAGTCAGACACATGAAGAAGTGCAAAGCAGGCCTTTAACTGGCAACCTGACCCTGCCACCAAGGGATTCTCTCGCAAAATCCATCCTCAACAATCCGGTCAAATCCATGCTAAACAGGTGGTTCCACCACACCAATGACAAAATTCATCTGTTGCTTTTTGCACAGGCCTTGGAAAGCTTGGGTGATAGGATTCGATGTCCCGGCAAGGACACGAGATAGAAGCCAAACCGAGCGAAGCAGGTTGCTACACCGACTTTCCAGCTCCAGGCTCAAACTGCCAACTGCGACTCGCAAGGCGGTTTGACAGCCAGGTTAGGCAAGTTAGGCTTAAGGTGTTGTGCTCTGTCTTGCGTGCAATGTCACGATTCGCCCTTAAAGTGAGTCAGATGCAACTCACATTCCCCGCTTGGGCTATGACCCAGCCCACCTAGCCCCCCCCGGAAAGCCCACTGACCCACTGACCCAAGCACCCTCGGAAGCCTGCGACCGACCTACTCACCAAAGCTATCGTCATGGCGCGGGCTGGTGAAGAATTGGAACACCTCACAGGGCTGAGATCGTTCTTAGCTTTGTGGAACCTTGGAGGAGTTTGGACAAAAATCGGTCTCATGGAGCAGGCACCGGACTGGGTAAGAGAAGTCTTCCAGACTCCAGATGTTCCTGGCTGAATATCTAGTAACAAGAAGCTACTAGGAGCAAAGGGCAACGCTACTAGGACCTAGGAGAAAGGACGCTACAAACGGGGCGCTCCTGGCCTTACTACTAGTAGCAAGAAGCTACTAGGTTAGAATCCATCGCTAGTAGGCTGGAGGCCATTACTACCAGTAACAGGTGCATCGCTACCAGTCCACCACCAGTAACCAGCTTCTTGTCCACCGAGTCCACTGAGTCTGAAATTCGATCGCCAGGCCACTACTTCGGGGTCATCAAGTAGGAAACCGTTCTCATGGGTTTTGGACACGTGTGCTAAAGACATTCAACGGGGAATTCGCGGACGATCGCTTTCTTCAATATCTCATTTTTTGCGGGTGACTATAATAGCACATCACACTCGTGAGTATATACTTTACCTTTCAAGAACTGACGACCGAAAGACAGGGGTGCGTCGTCAGCTGAGAAGATGTTATTCCCCTCAAAGAACCAAGTTTGGTGACATCACTGTCACTTCTGCTACTCGAAACGCTTCCAGTTACCTGGAGGCAAATAACATTACTTCCAGAATGTTATTCTCATAAGCATGCTCAAACGCCACAAGGAGGTCCAAGTCTCCCTAGATCTGTGCCTTTTGAGGGTGCAGTTCTGCACGTAAAACTTGCACCTCTGACTTCTCCATTTCAGATATAGCGATGGCCTCCAACCTACCAGCGATGGCCTGCCTCTGTTTCTCCAAACCAATTTCCAGGATTGTATGTGGTCACTACATGCCTGGCGCCTCTGCCGACGGATCGCACAGAAGCGCGAACGTCTCGGCGATCACGTGCCGTTCCTTTGCAGCGGTGGACCTCTTCATCGTGATGAGCGGTCTCCAAGCGGATGAGGAGACGAGAAACACTTCTTATTGCCCACCCTTAATCAAATACTTATTCAACTAGGCGCCTACTTCATGTTACGGAGATCAGCTTTAGCTTTCTAGGGATGGCTTACGGGATGGCTCACGCGCACTCGTCACGTGGTTCTGACCTCCGGTTCGGGGTCGGTTCTCGGGTCGGTGCCGGTGGGACGGACGAGACCGGACGAGACCGGACGAGACCGCTCCAGCCTCCCCGCGAATGGGCCAAGGTTACGTCACCCATTTGGCCTATGGGAATCGTTTGCGCAGTGAAAGCTTGAGCCTGCGGCGCTACTATCTGCTGCCTGGAGGGCAAAGCTCTGCCCTGTGAGGGCTTTTTTGGATGGGTTTGATTCGTCAAACGGCATGGAGAGGAGACCAGCAGCTGCCCCAAAACGGATCAGGTACCAACTCCAAGGAATGGTGGTGTGACTTTCAGAATTGGATCGGGTGAGTCTACGATCCATTTGAAGTAAATGCAGTGTGCAGTGTGAATCCCTTTTTGGCCCCCTTTTTGAGCAAGACACTTCAGCAGCAGGCTCCTCAGTTGTGAGAACATCTTTTCGAACACGGAGTGTTGCGGTCAAGAGAGTCCCCAAGAAGTTCACCAAGGGCGACGCTTCGGTTGGAGGCCATTGCTAAAAAATATACATTGAAATTATACCAGCATAGACCCCAAACAGCGTCAGCATTTTTTCGGTGTCGGCGTCAACTCCGAAAATTCCAACGTTGGTGGAAACGAATGCAAGTATACTTTTCTAAAGCCTCCAGCGGTTTGGGAACTCCACCTAAACAATAAATATATGTTTGAAAACACCAGTTCCTGATGCCTGTGTCACATGTGCAAAACGATGGGATACCGGATGTATGTCATGAGAAGATCCGATGGTGCCATCACATTTCGATCACTGTATCACTAGCCACATGAAAACATACCCAGACAAGGCGGTGGAGATAGGAAAACGGCGTGGCCAAGCAGGGGACAAGGCCCGGACACAGAGCCGGGCCACAGAGCCCAGCCACAGAGTTCAGGGGCGCGGCCAGTGAGTGTGGCCAGCTCTTTTTTTCTAAGATAGAACCCCAACAGCAAACTGCTTGGGGGAAAAAGAATACAAAAAGAATATTCGTATAGCTACATATACAAATATATATATATATATATATACAATATGTAGTATATGTTATATATATGTAATATGTGTATATATATATATATATACATGTGTGTAACTGTATAGCAAGAGTGCTCCGTTATTTCGCAATGCCCGAGCTGCTCCGTTTGCCGCTCCTTGGTTCCATCTGGTCCGGCACTGTCAGACCCGTCGACCCGTCGGGTGATGTCGCATTGGGAACAAGAAGCTACGAACGGAGCCAAGGGCATCGCTACGAACGGAGCACTCTTGCTATATATATATATATATTTACTAGCTTCTTGTTACTACTAGTAAGGCACTTGTTCCTACTAGCGTGGC